TTGCCACATTCATTGACCTTGTTTATAGGTGATTTCATTGTTTGATCACGTTAAAATGTTCCTAATTTGATGTCTAAACGCACTTGGAAAAGGCAGAATCCCATGTAAAATTTGCGCAACAAACTCTATTTTCATTACTGAAAATGACCGTATTTTTATGGGACAGTTATTTTCTGTTATTTTACGGTCTTATTTTGGCGCCCCAGCTGCCGGAATATTACCGTTTTGTTAAGATGGTTTTTTTCCCTATTTATAGATGATTTCATTGTCTAATCACATTAACATGTTCCTAATTTAATGTTTAGCGGCACTTGAAAAAGGCGAGATTCCATGTCAAATTAGCGCAACTAATTGTATTTTCATTACTGGAAATAACCGTATTTTTATGGGGAGTTATTTTCTGTCATTTCACGATCGTATTTTGGCGCCCCAGCTGCCGGAATATTACCGTTGTTTTAGGATGTTTTTTTTAACAGTGTGGAGTTTATTTTCGTTGTGCTGACTTTTTACAATCAGTTACAATAACTCGTACTGAGTACTAGCTAGTATGACAGAGTTTCTATACAGCTGGGTGGGTGCTGTGATGTTACTGATAGTGAACTTTATTTTATTCATAAGGTTAGTTAGTAGAGTTGCCAACCGCCCCTTAAAAAATGGAATGGTCCCGTATTCAGAGAAAATATTTCGCATTTCGTATTGAGCTGAAAAGGAACGCAGTTTGTCCCGTACTTCAGCTTCAATGGAAAAAGACACAAAGCTGGAGATATTCTGCATCTTAAGCTGCACAGCTGCCTCTTCTTCTCTCATTCTCCCCCCCTCCCTCTCCTGTTGCTACTTCAATCATGAAACTGATCAATGATCAGCTGATCAGCTTTTCTCTCTTGTTTGTTTATCGCCCACTTTGCGCCAGAAAGAGGAAACGCTAAACAACAGCAGCACGTTTAATTAGCTTGATCAGCTGTTGTTAGAATTTATTTAATATTAATTTCTAGTATCAGCTGATGTTTGCTGGAGCCACAGCTGTAAAAGCTGCTGGTCATGATATCGGTTTGGTTATTTGGTGAGAGGGAAACATGAAGATGAAACCAGGAGATGTCCTTACTGAATCATCAGAGCTGAACAGGTGATGGAGAAACAGGTTTACCTTTTAGGTGACATGAATGAGTTGAAGGGAAGTTATAAACTGTTTCTGAGAAATAACACTAGGATGCTTAAGTAGCTGAAAGCTGGTAACTGTGCAGGGGCAGGTCTAGCAAAGTTGTGCCAGGGGGCCAGGTAGGGCATTAACAGGGAGAGGGGGGCACAAAGAAATACTTTCTTATTCTCATTTAAATGTCTGGCTGTTATTAAATAATTATCTGAAGCTTACAACCAAAGTTTTTATCTGATGTAAAATGTATAGAAATCATACATATACCAACAAGACTGTACATCACTGTCACAACAGCATTTGTTTTCATTCAAAGGCTTTACGGCTTTAATACCTGGTGGGCTGGTCTCTAGTCAAAATGCCTGGGCCGATTTTTTTGTCCCAGTCCAGTCCTGGGCACGACATGCAGTGAATTAATCTGAGAAGGTGCATTAAAAAATAAATGGCTGGGCCAGCGGTGCACATCGCAAATTAGCTTGCATAGACACATTAGTTTTTCTGCTCCTTAATGACGGTTCGACTCTAGCTCTACATATCTGTGTGAGCAGATTTTCTCTCACACGAGTGTCCTCAGGTAGCCGTCTGAAACACTCGGAGACCTGTGTCTCTGAGTGGGAGACCAGAGATCACATTAACGTGTATCTCTGTATTAACAAACATGCCATATTGGCCCAGTTTATTTTTCTTATCATTGCTGTGAGGAGACAATAAATAGCATTTGGATTTTCTGTTGTACAGTTCATTTGCTGTTATGGAGTTCTTGTTATGAATAAAAAATGTATTTTTTGTTTCAAAATAGCTGAAAACTATTCGCTGATAGCTGCCAACATCTGCAAACAAATATAATTATATAAAGTCTATATAGTTCTATATAGTGTGTAACTGTTAATATAGAGCGTTATTAAATTTATTGCTAATGCAATCATATGGCACATTGACTTCTGATGAAATTTTAGATGGCACTTATCATCAGAAAGGTTGCCTACCCCTGGACTAGAGCAATGACATCATCATTGAGTTTGTCAGTGTTGTAAGGAGTAAGCAATGTAAAGAATACACTAATAGGTAATTAAGTAAAGTTACCTCCAAATGTGGTGCCCTGATAGCTAATAAAAATCCACAATAAGACACAATAAAATAATGAGGTGGTTTAAAAAAAATAAAACTATACCACAGAGTCCACAGAGTCAGTTAAATGTAGTTGTAGTGGTAAGCTGTTCCACAGCTTTGGTGCCACAGACCGACAGAGGTTCTGTCCCTCTTAGTCTTTAGTCGTGTACAAGGAACAGCTAACAAAAACAGCTTTCTTGGTGTATAAGAAAGTAAATACAAGAATTTAAAAATGAATCCTAAATCTGTTGGGAGTACCTGTTAAGAGTACAAAATTGAACTGATGAGAACTCACTTGCTAGCAGGCAAACAGCCTGAAAACAGGCAGATGAGTGATTAAAGATCTTGCTTGATGAACTTACGCCTAAATTTCACGTGTGAATTTGCTGAACTTGTGCGATCAGTGCATGAAAACTCCATACTGTTCCTCGTCTGCCGTTGTTTCACTGCATAACACAGCACCATGTGAACACCTAGCAGCCATGGTTAGCAAGTACAATACAAAAGAAAACATCGAAGGAATACTGAAATAAAAATGTATAAATAAGCTAGATAAGAAATTGTGCACATGAAAAAATACAAAACTTTATCCTCATGAAAAAGTAAATTAAAAAAAAGATGTAACACACCAGTTACAGGAGTTTTTACATTTCAGCAACAGTCCATATGGTGTCATGTAATATATGTAACAGACAGTTTTTGGTATATGAAAGTGTTCCAGTTCTTCTGTTGATCATTATGCTCCTGGGAATGAGTTGAGTCATTGTATTAGAACAGAAAAATCAAATCAAATGAAGACTATAACAGCACACATTAAACAGAGAAAACATATTAGTCTGAGTGGTATATTATTTCGGTCAATTAATTTTAACTGGAATTTATTGTTGGTGAGAATACCTAATTATGCCATATCTGAAACTTTATTACTGTGTTTATAATATTGAGACCTTGAGTGTTTTATTGTGTCCTGAGAAAACAGGTTGGTTGCGAAATATCAACAGCAAAATGTACAAGCACACACGTTCATATCTACACACGCACACAAGGTCTTGGTCGTCAGATATGCTGTACAGGTTTCCTTTCTAGACCCACAAGCAAACAAAAAGAAACACAGGTATACATGAACCCCATATATAACTTGGTTGGTTGGCAGCTCTCAATGTTGAGTGCCTAGTTTTAAAGTGACTGGATCGATACAGGGGAGTGAATTGCCAATTTCAGTTTGTTCTATTGAAATTGGCTGGCAGTGCATTCTTGAGGGAGAGCACCAGATATTGGCAGTGACAGAGTGGAATTGGATTTGTAAGGAGAGAAAGACCAAGAGGGAGCATAATGATCAACAGAAGAACTTTCATCCCCCAGCATGTACTACATGCAAGCTAAATATGCTCTTATGTATTTGCTGGACAGTTAAATTATGGCGACAGGGATAGAAGCCTCTCCTGCTTGAATGATTACACACAGAATAGCTCATTGCATTGTTTATTACCATCGAGCTCTATGTTGGAAGAATACTGTGCCACTACGTGATAAATACCTCATGTTCTTCCTCACTATTCTGCTTTGCAGTGGTATAGAATAAATTTATTACTAAAGTATAACATGAAATGGCATAGATTATGTCTTGGATGTCACAATTGGGATGAGCTAAATCAACCAGCACTTGATCATGGAATAACTTTCCTGGGTCTCATGAATACGAGACCAGGGAAACTTCATAGTCATGAAATTATGTGGAAAGGAAGCCCCCTGTCAAAAATGGGACTGCATCTTAACAAGGAAAATCATGAAACTCATCAACAAGGAGTGATAATACTTAGGAAGTCCTTTTATAATGCCAAGATAAAAATAAGCAATGCTGGCAACATGTAGCTCTCTTATTTCAAGTAGAGCTCTGTAGTATGTTGACATAATTCACTAATTCTCATCCTCGAATGTAAATATCCACTTGCAGCCAGCTGTGGGGGGTTCTCCAAATTGAGTTATTGGATTTGTTGACCCTTTATTTGCTAAACTGATATAACCTGAGAGTAATGTCCTCACATTTACACAAACAATTATTTACCAATAAATTAAAAAACTTTACACTTTACAACATGTTCTAAAAGTTCCTAAAAAGTTTCTTCTTCCTGGTATAAAAATTCAGTTTTCTACTATGAACTGAGTGAATTTGAATCTGTACATGTGTTGACATCTTACGTAAACCATTGAAAATGCACAGTAATCTTTAGTTAAACTATAACCATACAAGCATAAACATGCAGACACACCCATACAGACTCCGTGACTGTGCTAAATGAATGATTTTAACACCCAGATGAGGGGATTTTGGGTTTCACTTCTTCTCTCAAACAGTAGATGGTTTTCAGGCACACGTACACAGCAGAGACAGAGCCCTGCACACACACAACCATTCATGGAACAGTAAAGGGGGCTGAGCCTCCTTGTCCATGTGCAACACTTCCACATCCTGTAGATTGAAAAGCTGTTATCTCTCTTGAACGGGGCGCACTTTGCCCCAACCTCCAAAGAGAGCCAAGGTAAGATTACAGAGGCAGGCAGTTTCAGTCAAAAAGTAATAACAATACCTTACAGTGTATATTACAGTCTTTTGATTGTACTGCATGAATTATGATTTTGCTGAATAATGATATATAAACAGAAAAAACAATTTTACATTCAAAGATCTTTCTTGTTATGACTGCATACCTACAAGAAGCTGATGTTCAGTGGGAATTTTCTACATTTTTTAACATTTTGTAGATTGTAGGCGCTTAAATTATATAATTATACTCACATTAATGTGGACAAAGAAAGACTGCATTAATGATTATGTTGGTTATATGAAGCTCTTTGCCAGTGGCATAAAAGCATAGTGTAAACTATACTGCGGTTCCATTGAACAGATGTCTTATGAGGTTTCTTTGATGCTGATTCTTTTTTTGTTGTTGTTACGATGCACATCACATACACAATTTTTATGCTAGTCTTAAACTTAATTACAGGTAGCTAACTGCCTCCTGGTCTGTCATTGAGTTTAATAAAAGTTCTATTTAAATATAATATTTTAAAGTGGCTGTACTCAGGGAACCTCAAAAGTGCAGCTGTAAAACAGTGTTAGTGTCAGGATTTCTCTGTGTTGGAATATTTAGTGAAACCTACTTTTAGGTATTCAGTGGAAGCCAAAAGTAGGAGTAGAGAGCCTAAAGAATTTGTACTTTAAACATACACTATGTTTGTGTATTTTTTTCTCTGTGCCTTACATTGCATGTTTGCAGGTGCTTTTCAGTGTTTCTCTATGATGTGCAGCTGATTGCTAACACACAGGGGCATGCAGACATTTGGCTCTCTGTCTCTCTCTACGCCCTCACCTGCTCTTCACAGCACATTAAACAGGATAGCTATAAGCTTCTCACACACCCAAACAGACACATAGCCACACACACACACATCCAGATATTCACCTTGTTTTTGTCTACAAGATTAGGCTATACTGGAGTGAAGCCTAATTGCTTGAGCTGTATGTTGGGTGCCTTTGCAAAGAGTAGGCTAAGCCTGTTGGACATCTTTCCTTTCCAGATTCTCTTTTTCAGTCTCACTCCACTCTCCTTCTCGCTTATGGTTTTATTTTACTGAATTTAATACCTATCCGACCTTTGTAAGACTTTTTGCCAAAAATCCAAGGTTAATGGAAGGAAAATGCATGTGTGTGTTAAATATGTTTTTATTTATTTTTATTTTTTGCACGTCTGTGAGTGTGCCTCCTGCCAATGGGCATCATTAAGCAGCTAAAGGTTTTTGTACCTCTGAGACCTTGCCTGTAGTAAACTTGCTATCATTAACGAGTGTTAATGATGCTGCCCTTTGTAATCACTGTGTACGTATGAATATTTTGTTTTTGTGCATTTTTTTCTCTGTTAGATGGCGAAAAAACACTTCTCTAAGTTGGAGGTGATGTTAATGGTGATGTTTATGATTATGACTGTGATATCAATCGCATTCATAGTTCTGTTTGCCACGGGACAATCTGGTGTGAAAGAAGGTAGGTGGACCACAGAGAAATACACATCTAAGTTTTAAGCAACATAAAATCACTTCCTCCTTTACTTTTCTTTTGCTCACATGATTATCATTTCTAAACCAGAGAATAATCTGCACACTAATGTCAGTTTGTAAAATTACAAGGTTTACCCTTTATAATTGTGACTTAGTTGCATTGTTCTTTTCTCAGAAATTACAGATACATTTGTGCCAACATGTCCCAGCATGCCTCTGGGTGAGAGAGTAGATTGCTTCCCTGATTCTGGAGCATCACAGGTAAACTAATTTCCTAAAGTGTAAAGTGTGTGTATGGGGATTTTGTTTATTTATTAATTTATGAATAATTAAATAAATAAATATTATTTACAAAATTTAAGCATTTGCTATTGTGACAAAAAGCACTTCTAATAGTAACAGTGATGACACTACAAACAATTATATTGGCAACAATACTCTTAACAGGATAAATGTCAGGAACGTGGCTGTTGTTGGAGTCCACGGGATGAGAGTAATGTTCCCTGGTGTTTCTTCCCAACCAACTATGGATATACTGTGGAATCACAGGAGACACCAAATGCTTATGGTAAAACCTTAAACCCCCTCTGTATTCTTTAATTCAGAGTCATGTGCTCACTAACTGATAGAAATATGCATATAAATAGAAAAAAATCTGTATGTGCTTGGACTCAGTAGAATATTCAAAAACAATCATGTTATGCCCAGCCTGAGATTTGTATGCGATGGGAATTGAACCAACACATAAAAATGAAAGCATTCCTTTTTTTTTTTTATCCATATCTAATTTAAAATGTCATCAAACATTTTTACATCCATTTGGCAAAGGTATTGCTTAAGGATACTATGCAAATTAGTACAACAGAGCCAACTAAGTACTCTGTAACATTTTTTAATCATGGAGGTAAAAGAAGTTGTCAATACATATTGTTTAAATAAAGTCCAGTCTAAGTTCACCTGAAGATTTTAATGTGGTGCTACACCTGAATTGAACGACTGACCCTGACAAATGTTTGCTCACACAGTTTCTCTTTGTAATAAAATATAACAAAACTGAATTGTTGTTTGTTTTCATTTTTTTAAACTTATGTTTCTTATGTAACTGATTTCTACATTATGTAAATATTTTGTATTATGTGGATGACATATTAAACTTCTTGCCATCTTACTGTCATCTGTTTATTTTTGCAGCTATAAAGGCAAAACTGACAAGAATGGAATCTCCATCTCTATTTGGTCAACACATAAAAGAACTGGCAATTGACGCAGAAATGCAGACAAAGAATCGACTCAGATTTAAGGTGAACATTGACACCATTCTGGCTTTATATTCTTGTATACATGTTTGCAGAGCCGGATTTTACAGCAAAGTGAGAAATTATGAGATACACTATTCATTTCAGAAGCAGTTTAATCAAAGTATCTTTAATATAAAAGATCATGGCTCAAGAGTTGGCAGTTCATCTTGTAATCGGAAGGTTGCCGGTTCGAGCCCCGGCTCGGACAGTCTCGGTTGTTGTGTCCTTGGGCAAGTCACTTCACCTGTTGCCTACTGGTGGTGGTCAGAGGGCCCGGTGGCGCTAGTGTCCGGCAGCCTCACCTCTGTCAGTGCGCCCCAGGGCAGCTGTGGCTACAATGAAGTTTGCCATCACCAGTGTGTGAATGTGTGTGTGAATGGGTGGATGACTGAATGTAGTGTAAAGTGCTTTGGGGTCCTTAGGGACTAAGTAAAGTGCTATACAAATACAGGCCATTTACCATTTACCATAAAAGCTGTTGAGAATGAAGAATAGAAATATACACAACTGAGTATAACTGAGACAGCGAGAGTTCTGTCTCACTGCCTAAAATGACTGTTTCCTTTCCCTCAGATTTATGATCCCAACAATAAGAGGTTTGAAGTCCCCCATGAGCACATCTTCAACCCTACACCATCCAGTCCCATCAACAACACACTGCAGATCACACAGAAACCCTTTGGCCTTACTGTACGCAGAGAGGAGAACCAAAATGTTGTGTAAGTGCTCATTGTGTGTATATACTATGTATATTTGCTGTTTCAGATTGGATATACAAAAGATATCAGACTATGCAAACTGTGTGTATTCATTAAAAAACACGATTTACATAGAGGTAATTGTTATTATAATTTCTTATGTACTTTATACATTTTTATATACTATGGTTGCGCTAGTAAAGAGGGATAAGGGCATTTCTGAGTTAAAGCATGTATAGCAGCAGGGGATTGCGTAGTGTGGAGGAGATTTTTCATAATAATGCTAAGATGCCATGGTACTGAAATTTTAATATAAGATAAATTGAGTTATTAAATATTTATTTAGAATTACAATTATTACTTATCAGAACTGTCCCCTTAGAGATTTGACACTGGAAATTCGGAACCACAGGTTATGTGTATCACTTGAAGCAGATGTGTAAGAAAGCCACAAAGTTGGTCTCAGCAGCACACCAACTCACTGTCATGCAAAACTGGCAGGTGACACCATTCCATGTTACAAGACAGTTTCTCAAACAATAAGTCATTATTTTCGTGTTGATTCAGTGCATGCTTTGTTGGCCCTGTGTGACATTGCAGTGACAAACTCCTCCACAGAACACACAAACACAGATAAATAGAGCAAAACAACAATTGCATACATTAGTGCTAATGGTGTTTTGTACATCATTATTGGCTTTTATGGTGCATGACAAATTTCCCTACTAGGTAAATGTGGATTTATTTACAGGAAAAGTGAAAGCCAAAGCAACATTTGAAAATGTTTAATTTATAGTAGGGGTGCAAATTGTGTGGATGTCATCGATATAGGTATCACTGCGGCTTATCAGTCTTCCTGGATGTAACGATAATGAAATTTACAACCAGGCGCCAGTCAATGCGCTCTTTGTGCAGTTGTTTGATAAAAAACTAATTATTATTATCATTGGTGGGGAAAGGTTAAAAGGAGGTTTTTATCATTTCATTCAATGTAGGAAAATATATTTATTTTTAATAAATTCCATTGGTATAAAAAATAGCTTGTAGACAGAGGTCCACAGTTATTTCATGAAAAAAATAGGAGGTCCATTTTTTTCTGATTCAAACTCTTTACAGTGTACGGGGATTTCTTTGGTTGATTGCAAATGTTCAATACTTAGAATAATCTCCGTGCTCTAAAATACCAATAATGATGGTTTACACTCCTGTAGTTGATCTTTGCTCTTGGCAGAAAGTGGTGAAACAAAAGTTACACTGCCAATAGAGAATTCATATTGCTCAGACATGCCAACACATTTCAAAATGACAAAACATGTACAACAGTCATTTTATCTAATCCTTTGCTTTTAGTGTTTTGTCTTTTATTGGCTTTCTTTCATTGTTGAGTTATGGTTCTATAAGAAAAAAAAGAGTCAGTTAATTATTTTCTTCAACACTCTTTACTTACAAAAAAGAAATAATGAAAGACAATTAAAGTTAAAGTCACAGTTACATAAAATGAAAGCTGTTGGTTTGACCTGCTTATAAAAATTGCATTTATCTTTCTCAACACTGCACACAACTTTTAGTCACAAGCCTTTAAAAGGATTTTCAAGATAAATTTTAAAATAAGCAGATGAAGATTATTTGTGATTTAGCAACCAAACTGATCCTTTTTGGCACTGTGGGTGAAGCATAGCTACAGAGACTACCATTGTGGGATTTTTAAGCACATGGAATGTTTACCAAGATCTAAATTGTTATGATGTAATTATAGTTTGATAAGAACATGAGAATAAGCAGGCCATGAACTGTAAAAAGTCCATAAAATACAGTGATAACAATATTTACATATTTACTTTTAAATCATAAAAATTGCAGCAGGTTACCACAGGTATTTATTATGGCATTAAATTCCACCCAGATCTGTTATTTATTTACAATATAGATAAATGGACAATGTTGCTCATAATCATTCTATTAAGCCTGTGTGCCTGTCATGTGGAAATTATCTTTTTGAACAGAATTAGGGTTAAGATGTTAAATGAAGATGTTAAAGGAAAATAATATCATATATTTACTGCATTTAAAACCTTTACTTGTAATATCTGACAGCTGCAGGCTCGGTCTTTCAGTAACCAGTGTATGTCTTGTTTTGAAGACTACAGAAATGCTACCCAAAGGGCTTATTAGAGCTCGATGGGATGGCCTGTCTACTCTCTGTTTTTTTTTTTCTGCAACTCAATTTGTCAAAATGTCTCTGCTCCAGAAGCTCCAGAAGCTAGACGAGGCTAGACTCTGTATAGGCAGGACTGGGGAGAGGGTTGGTAAAATTTTAGTTAATGGTTGTCTTGATACAACACATTTTATTTCGCCTGTTTTTGGTTGTGTAGTGAAGGTGTTGTGTGGCCCTTGAGTGGTTAGCTTGTGTTTTGCGGTCCGTTTTGAGTTTCATGGCCACTTTTGATATTGCTGGATTTATGGCAAAGCCGTCGCTTGCCCTGCTGGATGTTTGTAGGAAGAGGGATCTGCATGAGGTGGCAACATATTACGGGATCAGTGTCTCCACTGGTCTACGCAAAGTGGAGCTGAAGGCCGCTCTGGTGTCTGGGCTGTTGGAGAAGGGGGTGGTTGTAATGCAAGAACCCCCGAGCACACCCAGTCCGGCTGGACCAAGTACAGCGCCTCATGTTCCAAGCCAGGTCGTAGAACCGCCAGTGTCTGCACCTGTGGGCCAATGACACTCCCCCATTTTGATCCGCACTCCACCCAGTCATCGGAGGGTTCTAAGCAGGATGCTAGGCTCAAAGTCCGTCTGGCTCATCTCCAACTGGAAAAGGAGGAGCGTGAGAGAGAGTTCCAGCTGAAAAAGGAGTTAGAGCTTAGGCGTTTGGAGGTGGAGCTGGCTAGTGCTAGGGAGGTCGAGCTGAAGAAGGTGGAGGTGGAGACTAAGGTCAAGCTGCGACAGCTGGAACTCCAGCAGGCCTCCTCCCCTCCTGTGGCGGCCTCGCTGTCACAGACAGAGGTACAGTTTGATGTAGGCAGGAATAGTCATCTGGTCCCTGTGTTTCGTGACACTGAGGTGGAGGTTTACTTTGAATCATTTGAACGGATAGTGACAGCCTTGCTTTGGCCGCGCGATGTGTGGGCCATCCTGCTGCAGTGAAAGCTGGTGGGCAAGGCACAGGAAGTTTGTTCCTCGTTGTCCGCTGAGTGCAGTTTGGATTATGACAAACTGAAAAGTGCTATCCTGTTAGCCTACGAACTAGTCCCCGAGGCTTATAGGCAGCGATTTCGGGGGTTGAAAAAGGTGCAGGGTCAATCCTTCCTGGATTTTGCGAGGGAAAAGAGTGTCCTCTTTGACCGATGGTGTATGGCCTGTAAAGCTGCAGACCTAGTTTCGGTACGGGAGTTAATTCTCATTAAGAATCTCCGAGCGGATGGCAGTACATCTGAGCGAACAGAAGGTCTCCACATTGCAGCAGGCCGCGACACTGGCTGACGAGTTTGCACTCGTCCATAAAGCCAGTGTCGCTAAGCATGAGCGACGCGACACCCTAGCGAAGGCTAGCGGTGCTAGTGGTGAGCAAGACACAAGGGGAGAGGTACCTGTGCCTCGTCCCAGGTCAGACCAGAAATGTTTTTACTGTTTTAAATCTGGCCATTTAATAGCGGACTGCGAGGCCTACAGGCGAAGACAGCCAGCCTCAACACCACGTAAGCCAATAGGGATGGGGCTGGTTAAAATCGCTTCTCCTGTTAACAGACCCCTTAGCACTGAGACTCCTGATGAATGTTTTAAACCCTTCATTTTTAAAGGAGCGGTGTCGCTCTCTGGTGAGCCTGAAGATGAGCGTACTGTGACCATTTTACGTGACACAGGTGGCTCACAGTCCCTCATACTGGCCAGTGCACTTGCCTTTGATGAAAAGACTGCCAGTGGCACTGACGTTATTGTGAAGTGGTAAGTGGTTGACTAGTCAGAGTCAGTGGTTGGCTCTATTTTGGAAAAGGATGTGATGCCCTCCGAGGAGGAGGCGGGTCCTGATGCCAAGGAACTGGCTCAAGAGGTAGCTGAGCCTGCTCCTGAACCTGCAGCTCCCCCTCTCCTCATGCAGGAGGCCCTTATGATTGCTCAGAAAGAGGACCCGTCATTAGCCAAATGTTTTGCCACCGTAGATGAGACTGATAGTCCGACAGGAGACAGGAAGCAGACGTTTTTGGTTTGTGATGGATTGTTAATCCGCAGGTGGACCTCAAAGCCAGGGGAGGACTGGAGTGTAGTCCAACAGATAGTGGTCCCGGCTAGTTTGTGTCAGCATGTGCTACAATTAGCCCATGGTCATTCATGGTCAGGACATTTGGGGATAAATAAAACGTATGACCATATTCTGCAGCCCTTCTTCTGGCCGGCAATGAAGGCAGATGTTGCAAGGTATTGTAATACCTGTCGCTGGGTTTCGGGCAGGTTTGCCCGGTAGAGGCAAAAGTCGAGGCTGTCCTCAGCTACCCGGCCCCAGCAACTAGGCAGTAGCTAAAGCGGTTCCTGGGCATGAGTGGATACTATTGCTGTTTTTGTAAGAACTTTGCGGTAGTTGTGGCCCCTTTGACAAAGCTATGTAGCCCCAAAATCCCTTTTGAGTGGTCAGGGGAATGCCAGCATGCATTTGAGTCTGCAAAATCTCTCCTTTGCAGCGCCCCAGTTCTGGCAGCCCCCAACTTCTCTCAGCTTTTCAAACTGGAAGTTGACGCCAGTGCCACCGGAGCTGGTGTGGTGCTGTTACAGAATGACACAGAGGGTGTGTGTCACCCAGTCTGCTACTATTCTGTAAAGTTCAAGCGCCATCAGCTAAACTATTCCACCATAGA